GTCAACCAAAAGTTTTTCAATACCAGCACTCATTAAGATTCATAATGTCATTTTTTTAGGTTCAAAATAATTTTCAGAATTTTCTAATCGTTATCATCAAAATCGATAAATATTCACAACAGCTGTAATATTCATTCCATTGTTCACAAATACGTATATCATTTGAAGGCTTGTGATAACAATTTTCATAAACTAAGAATAACGATTGTTGTAGGATGACATCAATATATATATATATTTTGTGGATACTGTTTAACTCAGCCGGTAACCCTTCTGGGGTTACTGCTGGTCTCAAACACGGATAAATGTGGAGGGTAAGATATGGTGATATGCATGCCAACAGGTCAAGAATGATATATAGTCTTCTAACAGTCTTAATTTCTAACTTCTCTTCTGATCACAGTAGGATAAATGTATCAGAATGTTATATTTTTAACTATATACATAGATTACCTATCAACTGTATTCCATTTAGTGGTTTCTGTTTGTGGGAAAACGTAAATTTTAGGTGAGGAAGTAGACATGTGTAATAAATAGTGTAGCAGTAATCATATCTTGACTGTCTAAATCTTTAGAACTGAAATATTTTAATAAAAACAAAAGCGTGTAACGACTATTTGAGTAGAAGATTTTTCATAATGAAAATTAGTAAGTGTGTAGTTTTAGGTAATGTTTCGCTTTCCTTATCATATGAATTTTGCAATCTACATTACTTACTTACGCCTTTTACCCCTAATGTAGCATAGGCCACCAACTAGCATCTTTCATCCAACTCTGTCCTCAGCCTTCCTTTCCATTTCTACCCCAATTGTTTATCATTCTTTTGATATCTGCTTCCAATTCTCAGCACAGTGTGTCCTTTGGTCTGGCTCTTTTCCGTTTGCTTTGAGGATTCAAAGTGACGGTTTACCTTGTGAGTCATTTGAGTGGTTTTCGCAATGTGTCCTATCCATTTCCAGTGCTTCTTGCTATTTTCTTCTTCAGCTGGAATCTGGCTTCTTCTCTCTCACAGTAGGTTGTTACTAATGATGGATTCTGGTCTACAGATCCACAGTTTCTTGTGTAAACAACTGTTAACAAATACTTGTATCTTCCTGATGATGGCCTTTGTAGTTCTCCGGCTTTCTGCTCCGTACAATAAAACTTCTCCGTTAGATGTGATCTTGTAACCTACACCATGTTGTAGTGCATTCATCTAGACCTATCAATAAGTATAAATTACTCAATAATATAAATCACTTGATTCATTAAAACTCTTTGTTAGGTTCTTCACTAGGTATGCTTGAAACTATTACGGGTTCACCTTGGTCGATAAACGCGAACGAGACAATGAACCAGCGTCCAGGTAGGCTACCTTGATCTGCTGACTAAACTGACCGAAAGTCTTGATGTAGCGTAGAAAGTATATTCTACAAACACCCAGCAAGCACAATGCAATCAAGCACATAAATCTCGTTTATTCATACATCAGGTAGACGTCCTTGGGTGAGCCATAAAAATAGCACACTAAGATAACGCAGTAACCAATCAAAGCCAAGAATTGCCCCGGTGGGAAATGAAATCTCAAGGTCAACTGATCAGCCCATGTTAGCAAACGTGAAATCCAAAACTAAGGCATTTATCAAGCGAGTTCTGGGGATCTAACGTCCCCAACCCTATCTCTCTGAAATGAAATGAAAATTTTTATTATAACACAAGGAAGCTGTGATACAGTAGTGGCGACATAATGTTTTCTGAATAAATGAAACTAATTCACACTGAACATTGATCGTATGACAGGCTTCACTGAATTCACTATGTTTTGTAAGATATTCAGACTTACATTCAATTTTAGTATCGGATGATGATCAAAATGTCTGACCTTTCTACTAAAATTACTGTATTATTTTTTACATCTAAGCAATCACTTACAATGATAATAATTATTACTTCTAGGATGTCATCATCGACGAGAAAGGTGGATCGGATGCAGATGTGAGGGCGCGGATTGGCAAAGCAAGGGCTGCATTTCTACAGTTGAAAAATATCTGGAACTCCAAACAACTTTCAACCAAAATCAAAATTAGGATTTTCAATACAAATGTCAAGACAGTTCTACTGTATGGAGCGGAAACTTGGAGAACTACCAATGCAATCATCCATAAGATACAAGTGTTTATTAACAGTTGTCTACGCAAAATACTTCAGATTCGTTGGACAGACACTATCAGCAACAACGAACTGTGGGAGAAAACAAACCGGATTCCAGTGGAGGAGGAAATCAGGAAGAAACGTTGGAAGTGGATAGGACACACATTGAGGAAAGCACCGAACTGCGTCACAAGACAAGCCCTCACATGGAACCCTCAAGGCAAAAGGAAAAGAGGAAGGCCAAGGAACACGTTACGCCGAGAAATAGAGAAAGATATGAGAAAAACGAACAAACATTGGACAGAACTGGAAAGGGAAGCCTAGGACAGAGTTGGTTGGAGGAAACTGGTTGGCGGCCTATGCTCCATTGGGGGTAACAGGCATAAGTGAGTAAGTAAGTCTAGGATGTCAGCAAATAAAGAGAATTTCTGAAATAAATGAACTGACATAAGTCAACACTTTTGAAACCATGAATCGACCAATATTAGACCACTATAAGCAACCTGGAGGCATTGGACAGCCGTTTCGTCCTGGTGTGGGGCTCATCAGCAGTACGCATACACGACTTCTGCACCTCGCAGGAATCGAACCCAAGACCTTCGCTTTTGAGCGCGAATTCGATTTAAAAATCAGTGCTTCTTGTAATTTTTTTCATTTAAAATTGTTGTTAAAGAAATTCATTTCACAATTTGAAAATTTTGTCATTGTTATCTCCAAAATAAAAATATTTTCATCAAAGCGTTACAATAAACAAAACATATCTGTTTTTCATTATAGTTAGTCAATGAATCAATATTCATTGTTGCATAACTAATTAGTGGTCAATATTTTATTCCTAATTTATAAAATTAATTAATGTAAAATTCTTCTTTTATCTTCTCCTTCGCCTTTAAATGTTTTTGCATTCTGTCCCAACATCCAAACCATCCCACCTTGCCCGAAGAATTCATTCACATTTAAACATACAAAAATAGAAAATTACCTTGTCCTAAAACTTAAAAAAAAAACTCCACAACAAAAGATGTCGCAATCATTTTGTTCAATTGTCAATTCAATTTAATTTTCTTAACATGAATTGATCATTTAACCATCTGATCACTACTACTAACACCACCACTATGTTGTACACATTAATTTTTTGTTTGTTCACACTTTATTTTATCCACGTGTATCGTCGCATCGATTCAGAGTTAAAAAGAACTAGTCAACAAAAATGTTTGGTAAACATAAAAGTTGAAAAGAAAAAACAGTAAGGCTAATCATCGTAATAATATTGGGATTTTTTGACAAAAAAAATCGAATGAAACAATTTCACACGATCATCTTTCTACTTCTTCTAAATACTGCCATTCTCTCCCTTCTATTTTTTTTGGTTATCACTTTTTACTTTGACTTGAAAAAAATAAAAACAAACAAGTGAACGATTCCACTCTATCACTTTGTTTATCTAATTGGCTTTTTTTTCCGTTTGTTTATACTAATTAATTTGATGAAGTTCAAAGCAGCTGAGATAGTGTGTGTGTGTGTATATATATATGTAAAGATACATCCTTCTTATCGAAATACTCACGCAATGTGTCTAAGTAAGTATACATTGTGATTAGTTATTTGGTTAGAAGAAATAGTATTTAACATATTTAGCATGGATGGATGGCTGTGGTGCGCGATACTTGTAAATTGTATAGGACACCAGTGAAAACATAATGTCTGGCAGCAGAAGATGAAAGAAGATCAAGAAAGGAAGAGCGGGAGCACAATGGGATTTGTATGAAACGCATGAACAGTGGTGAAATGTCAGACAATGGTTTGCTGTTTTGCAACAGGAACAGTCCAGTTCGATATGATGGATTGATAGTTTGCAAATTAATGATTTACGATATGGTTTTACTATTTTACCAATTAACTCTGTAATTTACGATAAATACAATTCGCTTGACCTCATCTGTGTTCTCCTTCACTACTTATTTTTTTTACTTGATGATTATAACCAATCAAATGGAAGTATGTTTTTTTTCATTCAAAATTACTCCTACTCAAAATAGCATTAGAAGAATGAATAGAGTGAGAGTGAGAGAGGTAGAAGGCTTAAATACAGAATAGACGATTGATTAATTTGAATAGAGAAATAAGAAGACATATCTTGTGAGATAGTACCATTTCTTGCTTTCTCGTCAGTCACATACAAGCAACATGTTATTTGTGTCAATACAGTTTTGAAGATAAGGTCAAAATTTCTTATTTAGCATGACATTCACTCACTAGAACCATGGTAAACAAAGGTCAACATACAGTGGTTTTTGAACACATAAAGTTGGAATTTTCTGACCAATCACGATAGCTTCGAGTAGTTTCAGTGTGTGTGGGTTTTGATTACACGTCACAACTCTAAATTAATTGATCGATTTATGTTTTTTGTTGTATTAGTTGTAGAGTTTTACCAATTTCTTTTTAGAAAACGTATATTTGTCCAATGTTCAATGTTCGATGCAAAAAAATTCAATATTCAATTTTCAAAGTTCCACATTCAATGTTCGAATTTCAATTTTCAATGTTCAATATTCAATATTCAATGTTCAATATTCAATATTCAATTTCCAATTTTCAGTGTTCAATGTGCAATATTCAAAATTCGATTTTCAATATTCAATGTTCAATGAGCAATATTCAAAATTCAAAATTCAATTTTCAATGTTCAATATTCAATGTTCAATGTTAAATATGCGATGTTCAATTTTCGAAGTTCAATTTTCAATGTTCAATTTTCAATGTTCAATATTCAATTTTCAATTTTCAATGTTCAATATTCAATATTCAATTTTCAATTTTCAATGTTCAATGTTCAATATTCAATATTATATTTTCAATTTTCAATGTTCAAAATTCAATATTCAATTTTCGATTTTCAATGTTCAATGCGCAATTTTCAAAATTCAATTTTAAATTTTCAATGTTCAATATTCAATTTTCAATTTTCAATGTTCAATTTTCAATATTCAATATTCAATATTAAATATTCAATTTTCAATATTAAATATTCAATATTAAATATTCAATTTTCAATATTAAATATTCAATTTTCAATGTTCAATGTTCAATATTCAATATTGTATTTTCAAAATTCAATGTTCAAAATTAAATATTCAATGTTCAATTTTCAATGTTCAATATTCAATGTTCCATGTGCAATATTTAAAATTCAATTTTCAATGTTCAATTTTCAATATTCAATTTTCAATTTTCAATTTTCAATTTTCAATATTCAATTCGATTTTCAATATTCAATGTTCAATTTTCAATATTGAATATTCAATTCAATATTCAATTTTCAATATTCAATGTTCAATTCAATTTTCAATGTTCAATATTCAATGTTCAATATTCGGTGTTCAATATTAAATATTCAATTTTCAATTTTCAATGTTCAATGCGCAATTTTTCAAAATTCGATTTTAAATTTTCAATGTTCAATATTCAATTTTCAATTTTCAATTTTCAATGTTCAATTTTCAATGTTCAATATTCAATATTAAATATTCAATATTCAATATTCAATTTTCTGTTCCTGTTGCAAAACATCAGTCCATTGTCTGACATTTCACCACTGTTAATGCGTTTCATACAAATCCCATTGTGTTCCCACTCTTCCTGTTGATTAGACTAGTGGAAGTTTAGAATTTTACCAGGTGTTGGGTGTTGGTAATAACTAACGAAAACAATGATTGAATTCGCGTAAAACCTTAGATCGACCAAAGTGAGACATTAACATCGTTGGATACCGGGTCAGTGATCTAAGGGTTGAATATTTGCATACGAGACCGAAGGTCTTAGGCTTAACTCCTGCCTGCGAAAATCGTGGATATGTACAGCCAAAAAGTTTCATACTTGGATGAAACGGCTGTTCAGTGCTTGTACATTTCTAATGGTGGTCTAACAGTGATCCATGCATAAATTTCCATCTTATTTTCCTTCATGACCTATCTATTGATCTATCTATCTGTGATTCCAGGAAAAAACCTTTTCACCTGAATAATGAAAAATTTCCATATTGTTAATAAGAACAACACAATCAAGCGAACAATAATGTAAGCATTTAGACCTTCATCAGTCTTTACTGTAATATACAACTTAATTTATGAGTCAACACTAACAATGAACTAAAAAGCCCTAAACTGACGGTATGATGAGAGGACTATATTGATTTAATGGTTAAGTATTCTTATTGTCATAACCAGTACACCTATCAAAACATTATCAATGTGTACTGTTCTATTTATTCCACTATTATTGCTGACTCGAAAACTGCCCTGAATCTTTTGTAATCTCACTGAATACAGTGGATGAGGTTGTGTGAGATTGTGGATTGATCGAAATTAGACGTTAACACCGTTAGATGTTAGTTGAGAGTTTCACTCGAGACAGAAGTTTCTGCGTTCGATTCCTGCGAGTAGCGGTAGTCCTGGTATGCACTACTGATGAATCCCATACAAGGACGAAACGGCTGTTCAAAGCTTCCAGGTTTCTAATGATGGGCTAACACTGATTAATTCATGACTTCATATATAACGTATGTTGGAACAAAGCGTCATAAAAACTTAGTCGAAATCAGTACCGTTCATCTCATTAAGTTGTACATTTCACGTAAATTCTTCGAAGCCCACCAAACTCAATAAATTAACGAAATCATTTTCTATTATCAAAATTTCAATAATCAAACTGGACATAAGTGATTTTATGATTAATTACTATGAGTTGACTTTGAAACATAGTACAAGGAAAGTTTAATACTCATAAATGTAAATGCAGCTTACAAATATTTAGGTTTCATTTAATTTAGTCTAATGATTTACTTGAAACATCATGTTTAATAAAACAACTGTATTCAAATAAAGTCTGATTATTATTCATAAATCTTCACTACTTCAAAATACTCATCAGATTTCTAGAATCAATTATCTCAATACATACAATTTTGTTGTGACTTATTATTATTAAATGTTCAATTCAAAAACAACCTAAAATTTATGGTCAAATTGAAGTTTGATTTCTTTTTTAAAATTAAAATTTTCTATTTTTATCATTGTTAAAAATTAACTTGCATGTTTTTGACATGAAATCAATTCAAATGAAATGTTGAAATTTATTTTACACAAAGATCATTTCTTTTATAACACTAAAACAATTTGTTTCAGAATATAATTGAACACTGAACAGCATGCTAAATATTCGAAGGAATTGGTCTAATTTTCTTAACTGCTTTAAAAGTAAACACTTTCAACTTAGATTGAATTGATGATTGCCTAGTTGGCAATCTTGACCAATACAATGTATCAAATCCACTCAAACTGGCTTCATCAAACCACATTTGGTTAAATTTATGCCAAAAATGTGTGACTTAAGTGTTGAGTATGAATCTGCATATGATGTCCTTGATTCGAATGAACAAAATTATTTCTCAGTAATTAATATTCTCAATGTTCAATCACAAATCATTCACTTGAAATAAACAATCACTGACTGTTCAAATTCATTATTCCAAGGTCAACAACAACATCAACAATATTATGACCTAAAAGCTAATGTATGTTGGTTGATATACATTTCGAAATCAAATTGAAAAAAAAGGGGCTAAAAAATACATCTCAATTTTTTGATTAGAAAAATCAATTAGTTGAACAGCTTGAATGATGATTCTGGAAAAAAAGAAAGTGGTTTTATTTTGAAAGAAGCATAGGCGACAGAAAATTTTCAGTTCGTAGATTCTGTGTGTGTGTGTGCAGTGTAGATGAAAGTTTGTTTTACCAAATTAATTATCAAGATAAATTATTTGATTCATTATAGTGAAAAGAATTTCAACATTGAGAAAAGTTTAATTATTTGTCTCACATAATTAATTTTAAAAAGAGTAGGATAAATATTCTTATTCTTCTATTGTGTGGTAGAAAGTCTTCCTAGGAAAAAAACACTGATTATTTCGGAAAATGTGACTGACTGACTGTTGGAATTATTAACTGACTTACTAAGTTGGTGACTAAATATGCTTATTGGCAAATTCATTCATCACTTCTTGTTATGCAGTAATTCAGAAGAAAAAACTCGGCTACGACTCCATTCTCTGTTTTCCTTCAGCTACTAGTCTGTGTATATGGTTTCAGACAATTTACTGTTAGATGTTAAGTAGTTGGAAATTTCCGTTTTAAATTTATTCACACTATCAGTGTAATCGGTGAGAAACTGGTTTTTTAATGCAGATTTTATGACTGTGATCCTAATCACTGTTAAAATCATGCTTGAAAACGTTGCACATATGAAGTCTTTGAATAAATCGTATTACATTTAAGGAATTGAGTCTATTTCTACACAGTACTGTACAGTCTTCCACAGTCAGCGAATTCACGTAATAAATGAGAACAGATCAGTTATTGGCATTGACGAATGTGAGATCAGAAAGTTGTCCTATGGTATATGAAAACTTAAGCCAAACAGTGTCGATAAGTAATGCATAATTTTTGGTAAATAAGATTAGTGAATAATACTTGTTCTCTTTTGTGTATTCAAGTGAAAATCAGTCACTAGGTGGGCGAATCTCAGTTGTTCAATGTTAGATAGTTATTGGTTTTTAACAGAAAGTGACGAAGTTAAAAGTTTCGTCGTTCGGCACTCACCTACAATCTTAATCAAATTGGCATACATGAAAAGAAAGCAATTAGTTTCACGCGATATCTCGATCGAATAATTTATCATTCATCTTATGTATCATTGAGCCTAATGAAAATCTATTCATCACCCTGAATAAGCTCGTAACTTTCTGCATGATGATTCGTTCAGTAAGAAGCTTCAGGTAGGTCATTTCTCCTTTTTTAATGAGATGGAATATAGAAGATGTAGATAAAATATGGAATCAATCTATTAGAAAGCCCTAAAATACTGTCTAACATACATTGGACGCAAAAAAATTGAATTTCGATAGAATCCATGAATTATCATCTCATAAATTCACAAGAATAGCACACATGACCAATTTTCAAAATTATAACGTGTGTCTAATTGATTTCATCATGCAATGATAATTACCCGTAATCTATCACTGTGATTGATAATGAAACATTCAGTCAGAAGACGAATTTGACTTGTTCGGTAGAAATTCCGTGCGCGTATACACTTCATTGAACAAGTAAAAGGAAATTCTTTTAAATTTCTACGTTCTCAAATAAGAATGACAGGGTAACATTATTGAGATGACAATGTAATTATTTATATATTCACAAATAATCTGGAAGAAGATAAATTCGCGGTAACCAATATCGGTTTGAAATTAGTTGCTGAACCTAGTTTCCAGGAAGTTACTCGATATTGCAAACACTATCTCTCTTGTGATATCAGTTCCACAGCTTACAGAATCCTACTGCAAAATGGTTTGAATGTTGTATGTTGTGGGAGCGCTTTCATGTTCAACGCCTTTAAGTGTCATTTGAATTAGAATTTTGAACAAGTGACTTATTAAGATGGAGAGGTTTATGAGCGAGCAATCCAATACAACATGCTCATATACTCTTTATCCTTCTGCAATGCACACACAGGTTGCGAACTGAGCTGGTCCACGCGAACGGAAAATGTGTGATTGTTTTAGTCCGTTGAGTTATTTATTTGGTTACTCTCCTCTGAATGAATTGTCTGAATAGTGTCAATAATATATTTGGACTGTTGTTGAGAAGTAGTTGCGAGAAACAATCTTCACGAGGAATTACTTACCAGTTCTCTGACCAACTGGAAATAGCTAGTGGGGTGTGCACTGCACCTAATAGTTTACTCAGTGACAACTTCATGCATATTCTCTGCTTGTTCATCTACTCACCTGCTTCCTTCTCCACTCTCCCGTGTCCACACACAATCGTCAATGTACAGACATAACTCGACTCATTCTCACCTGTGATCAGTTTCGTCGAACCATAGTACATAGAACATACGAACTCGACATGATTGAGCACGACTGGTATTGTGGCCTCGGATAGTTGGAAGGTTTGCTTGCATGTAAGCATCAATTCATGCTATGCAGATGTGTATACATTGGTTGATGGTAGGTAGACAAGTAAGTGGTCGACAGTTAAATTATTTGTTAGTAGACAGTGCAACTGTGAAATTCGTAGACAAGCACCGAGTTGACTGATTGTGGTTGGTGTGCACGTGCACAAATATCTGGATGTTGTTCTCCTCCTCTAAAGCAACTGATGAAATATGTTCGGATGTGTGATTGGAGTATTGTCCAATTGTCCAGTTGTCACTGTCACTTTCACTGGTGAGTGTG